TTGGTTAGAAAAGCACATTCTTGACACGTGACTCATAATTTGACAGACCTGCGGGGGAAATTAGGGGCTGTTTGCACCAGCTGAGGCTGTGGATTTTCCTGCTGGAGCCAAGGAGTGATCGCAGTTTCACACGAATCTGCACCTGCAACACAAACAACTCCAGCTACAGATGTTTTACCACAGCAGTGTCTCTGAAATCCAAACGTGTCCTCTCAGCAAGTGCAGATCTGATCTGAAAGATGCTTTTTATTCAAGTCAAATGGAAGAAACAGAAAGGGAACACTACAGGATCCATTTATTATTTTTATCAATAGATTTCTTATATGGGCAGCACGGTGGCGCAACTGGTAGAGCTGCTGCCTCTCAGCGAGCAGGTCCCTGGTTCAAACCCCGGTCCAGGGGTCTTTCTGGGTGGAGTTTGCATGTTCTCTCCGTGCATGCGTGGGTTTTCTCCGGGTGCTCCGGTTTCCTCCCACAGACAAAAAACATGCATGTTAGGCTGATTGGTAACTCTAAATTGTCCCTAGGTGTGAGTGAGAGAGTGAATGGTTGTTTGTCTCGTTTGTCTTTATGTGTCCCTGTGATGGACTTGTGACCCGTCCAGGGTGTCCCCCGCCCCTCGCACAGTGATTGCTGGACATGGGCACCAGCGACCCCCGTGACCCAAAATGGAATAAGCGGGTAAAGATAATGGATGGATGGATTTCTTATATTTTTATTGTTTATTGGTGCAGAGGTTGGAGAAGGTGGGCCTGTGTTAGGAAGGTCGCTGGTTCAACTCCCAGACCAACAACATCAAAATGTGGGTGGAAAGGTGAAGCACTCACACCTGCCTCCACCCTCATTTGCCCCACTCTGTGCCCTTGAGCAAGGCCCTTAACCCCCACCATCTGCTCCCCCGGGTGCCCTAAATAGCAGCTCTCTGCTCCACACTGAGGGCTGTGGTAGCTCGGTGGTCTGTGGTTGAGTCAAGAAGTTTGTCGGGCATAGAATCAATCGCCAAGTCCTCGTGCAGCTTAGTTCGCTGTGGTGACCTCTGATTGAAGGGAGCAGCCGAGAAAAAGAACTATACTTCAAGTCCACTGTCATTCGCCAACATTACCACACAATAAAGACTATTAAAGCTATAGTTCAGATCTTTTGAAGTGCAGTTCTGTGAAAAGATTAGGAAACGGTTAATATCTTACCTGTTGTGGATAGCTTTATAAATGGTCTCAGGTGGGGAAAAACAGCTATTAAAGGGATAGTTTTGTGTTTTTTGAAGTGATGTTCTGTCAAATATTTAGCAATAGTTAGTATCTTATCAGATGTGACATCAGAGCACAAAGTTTAGCAAAGTGGCCAAAATTTTCATCCAGTATCAAACGCTAATGGCTAGCCTATTGTTCTTTTTGTTTGTTTTTCCAGGCTTATAAAGCAAAAACAACATAACAGTGTGAATAAAGCTACAACCAGTAAGTTGTTTATGAGTAAAAGTTATTTTATATACCTGAAAAACAAACAATGGGCTCTTGTTTGACTCGCCATTATCTGAGCCTGGATGAAGCATTTTGCCCTTTTCTTCACACTCTGTGACTGACTTTACTGCTGAAAGTACAACTATTTATAACTTTTTGATAGAATATTACCTAAAACTTCACAGACTGATTATGTGGTTGAAGAACCAATGAATCCAGCAAAGACTAAAATGGATTTCTCTTGTTTTTAAAACTAATCCAATCCAAATATTCTATAGTGGTTCATTGAATGTTATTTGATTTTATTTATTTTTATTTCTGTACACCGCCAATGATTTCACGTCACACAGTTATTTAAGTCAAATTGCAAAAGCAGGTAGCGCCAGCAGCAGTTAGCTGTAGCACTTCTTGTGCAGCTTGAAGCAAATAGTGAAGGAATATCACATGTATGCTGGAATAACTGCATGAAGTCGAGCTAAAAGCCGTGGAAATGTTTGTAAACATAAATCCAAACAGAATTTCACTTTGTGAAAGTGCTACAGGTAAGATATTCACTCTTCATAACCTTTTAGCAGAACTCCACTTCACAACCATTTAAACCATTCTTTTAAAATCTATCTACGCCTCATCTGTGGTCCTAAAAGTGAACAAATTGTCGTATTGTTCATCCTAATGCACCAACACTCATATTCGGAAGTGACGATTTGAAGACGAGGTCAAGAAATCCATCAGATTCTTCTTAAGCAAACCAAATTAGTATGAACAGTGCACAAGAACGTCTCGGCAGAAGTAAATTACGTGAAGTGGCACATTAGGCTCATAACAAAATGCACACAGCCCAATGCCACAGACGGTTTCCTCCATAATTAGACCATATAAATTACTGCAGATGACAGCGCAGCTAAAAAGCAACAGAAAGTGGAGCTCATTGCTCAAGTTACTGTGCAAAGAAGAGTCTTGATGCCAAAGACTGTGGGGCCCGGCGATGTTTGATGAAGGTCACACGTTACAGAAGTCATTTCTTTTTTCTGCTGATGCTAGCCGTCACTGCGACGGAGGAGCCCGGCGGCGTATTAGATGGCGTTATCAGAGGCCATCGGTGCAACCTTCCACTGTTTGCAGGCTCTGATGGACCTCAAGAAGTCTTGCTGTGGAAGCAGAATAAGGGTCGCTCTCATATTGTTCTGCTTACTGAACCTTCTACAGTCGCCTTGAGCTGAAAAGTTTCTAAAACGTTAACTACTGTATTTTTATTCTTCTCAGTTCTCACATTAGAAGGTCTGTTAAAGTTTACAATGAATGTTTTCACTATTTCACAGTTTGGTTTTTTTTTTGGTGTGCATGAGTGTAATAACAAAGACCGAACCCATTTTTCCTGAGACGTTGTGATCTGCAGCAGATTAACTGTGGAGCGTGATGAAGGAGCAAAAGTAGGGCATTAGTTATCTGATTAAAAGATAGTAAAGGAGAAATTAAATCAAGCTGAAAAAGAAAAGTGTGAGAAAGCGAAATTCTTTTTTTTTTTTAGTTTTGCTGCAGATCTGAAAGTGGCTGCAGTCAGAATGGATGGTCTGAAGGAAATTACCACACTGCACGCCACACAGGAAACTGAAAGTCTGCTCAGTAATCCATCTTACTGCCCTACTTGTACCCCCCTCCTCCTCCTCCCACCGCCTCCTCCACATCCACACCCACCGTGCACGTCGCGCCGAGCTCTGATCGGCCGACAGGATCCTCCAGAGATGCATGTTTAGTTATGAGAGAGTAGCGAAGTAGCAAATAAAAAATGTCTTCCTGTGCGATTTCAAAGTGAAAGACAAACTAATCATGGCTCGGCAGCCGACTCTCCAGCATGATTTATCTCTTACACACACTCACACACACACGGAGAGCCTTTGTCATGTTTGTTTTATCACAAGCTGTTTGCCTGGAGAGGTCTAGCTTCCTTCATTGATACACTTTGTCAGACATGTTTTCAGGCACTATCTCTCTGCTGTTAGAAGCGAGGCCCGCCTGGTTAGGAAGAATCAAACCGGTACTTTTATCTCGTCCTAAACAGAAATTCTGGTCATATTAAAATGGAGTTCTGCAGAAGAGTTATGAACAGTTAATATCTTACCTGCTGTAGATAGTTCTTTGATGCGCCTATAGGTTTGGAGTCGTTTAGTTAACAGGATCAATGAGCTAATGACTAGTTCATATGCAGCCAAAACCCATGCAATTTGTGGCCGTTTTAAATTAATAAGTCTTCAAATTTTCATACGGTTTATGCTAACGATACTTTTTGGACATTTATGCCACTTTCAGTTTATCAATATATGGTAATTCACATCGATTTCTATAGTTATTTGTAATTTTGACTAGCAGAAGCAACTAGTTATAACACATGTAGCAGAAATGTCCATTTCTGCCAAAAAGGCATGAAATGTGAAAGTTATGCAATGTGAAACATTAAAGATTGGCACATGAACCAGTATGACTATTTGAAAAGTGTAAGTGAAAATGCTGTTATTAGCTTGTTTTTTTATTTGTAAGCAATTCCAATTTTCATTCTGGTTTGTGCTAATCATTTGTCATGGATACTAACACTGCCATCAGTTTTGTAATTGATGTCAGAGAATTCTGTCTTATTTGCTATTTCAATTAGCAGCAGAAGCAGCTAGCTGTAGCACTTTTGAAAGGAATTTCTTAATATTTATGCCACATTTACATTACTAGAAAGGTTTAAATAATGGCATTTGTATGAACCACTTTGAAATTTAAATATTTGAAAGTGGAGCAGCTCAGATAAGCCAATATTACTGTAGTTTTGTCAATGCAGTCCAAGTTGACCCGCTTTCAAAGTGATTGCTGTTGCTTTAAAACAACTCTAATATTTAAATAAGCAAAGTGCTTCATGCTAAATCATTTATTTACACTTTTACACAGCTGGCAGTTTCATGTTACACTATTATTCCTGCAGAAAACTGATGAAATTCCTGCAGGAAGTGTCCCAGATTGCACAGAAATGACTACAGCTAGCTGCTGTTGTCACCATTTGTGCTCTAAAATAATCAAAAGATTCTGTACGAAAAAAATGAAATCAAATTTACAGAGATTTAAAAGTGTATAAGCTAACATTAGCATGAATCGCTATTAAAAGTTTGAAAATTTGTGTTTTAAGACGTTGGTAATCTTGTTTTGGTCTTTGCTGTTCATCAGTCCTGTCAGATTTAAACTGTTTCTCCAAACTGAAGCTGTTTAACGAGCTATCTGCAACAGGTAAGATAGGAACTGTTTACAGCTTTTCCACAGAACTCCACATGAAAACGAGGGCACATCCTTTTCAATTCACCAGCCCAATATTTTTGTCGTATTTATCTTCGTGACTTTTCTTTTCTTTCCTCCTGCGGTCCAGATTTATCTTAATGTCATATTGATTAGAGATTCATGAAATTGTAAAATGTTCAAAATCACTTCCCGTTATTGATGAATAGAGTCTGTAAGTTGGGTAATTTATACTATAATTGGTGAACTTTTTTTCTTTTCTACTTTTCTTTTCAGGAACCGTTTCAGGCTAACATGGCCAGGATTAAAGATATGGTTAGGCTTTTGTTTTGTTCTTGTGTGTGTCGTGTCTCGTGGTTGTTGCTTCTATTTCCTCTTTATGAGTTCAAATGGAAGTATTGTTTTAGTCTGGTGCTTCGCCTCTGACCACTTTAAACTGCCCTCCTTCCTTTGCAGAGACGAGAATCGTCCACTCTGACCAAGAAGGCTAACAACACCTTCAACATAGTCGGGACCACCTACGGCATCAACGTCCCCAAAGACCAGGGCTTAACCACCATCGCCAAGAGCGCACCCGCACCGTCGGCAAAACACTCCTTCCTGCATAGATTCGATGACCCCTACACAGAGGCCAAGAAATCCTACAACCGCGTTAGCAAAGTGGACAAGATATCGCGCATCATTTTCCCAGTTCTGTTCTTCATTTTCAACCTGGGCTACTGGGCCACGTACGTGAACAGAAAGCCCGCCATCATGAAGGCTAACAACCTAAACTGAGTTCCACCAAAGCTAGGCTTAATTCGGGGTGTAGACGAGTTCGCAGGAGGCCAAGTCCATCACATCTAAACAAAGTGTGTATGTGTGTGCGCATGTTCGGTGTGTATCTTTTATTTTTTTTTTCTTAAACGTTTGATAGATTGCACGGCTGTATAGATGGAAGTTTAGCAAACGTTAGACTCACACACGGTGTTGGGCCTTGACGGAGGCCCGTTCCTCTCATCAGTCTGTGTTTGTGTGGCGTTTCTTTGCTCCACTCCACTCTTAGCTCTGGCCCTGTTCCCCATGCTAACTGTTTCCTTTCTTTTTCTGTGGTTTGATAGCTTGCCGTTTTGTGGAGTAGTCCAATTTGTGCACTCTCCGTGTTTGGACATGTTTTGAGGCTTTGCCTCTGATGAATTTGAGAGAGCATGCGTTTGATTTTTTTTGTTCTCACTGTAACTCATTACCCTCGATAAGGCACTGACACGTGTGTAGAGCTGACAGCGTTTCCTCTCACACACACACACACACAGAAGCTACAGCCGAAGCCATTCTCCGAGCTCTTTCCTGTGCTCTGTTGAAGGGGCAGCCTGTATAGTTTTATAGGAGCATCATTAATAATTGTCAGAGTCTGGCCCTCAGTTCTTGCTGAATCTCAGCGCAGTCTCAAAGGGCTGCCTGTACACGTTCCCGTCCACTAGTTCCTATTGTGTTACCAGCTGATTATGTTCAGTGACAGATAATATATGTGCCTTGGAAAATACACTCATCTCAATAAAAGGAAATAGGCGTACGCTTGGTTTTACAACACAAATATGCACAAAAGTCTGTGTCTGTAAACATTTACTGGTGTCCTGTAGGCTCTGTATGGCTCTGCCTACCCTCCATCGGTGCATGGACAAGTGTAAAACTGCCTATCAGTACGAAGGGTTAACTGACCACTGCCTGTGAAAACATCAAGCAAAGAGATTATATGATCTAGATCGTGTGCTTTTATGTTTTGTGCATGTTGTATTATCATTGGTGAGATAACTCCTTATAAACTACCACCAGTACCTCAGAATGAAGTCAAATTCTGAACATTTTAGTGTATAGTACACACATGTATGTATATGTGTGTGTGTATGTGTATGTGTATATATATATATATATATATATATATATATATATACACACACACACACATTAGTGTTTTAATCAATTTCTTTAAGTTAGTGGAATAGTTTGGATTTCCTAAACTGGGGTTCTGTGGACTTGTTATCAGCAGTCAGCATCTTACTTGCAGTAGATCAGATCTTGTGCAGTTTGTAATTTTACGCATAAGTTTTCGTGGAGAAGACAAGCGAACGTTAGCTCGAGAAGACCGGGACCAAAACGTGCTGATCGATTGCTGCCATCTTAAATCACCTCTAATCTAAAAATATATAAATGTGTTGATAGATGCTTTTTTTGTCACAGTTAAGTCATAAAGTCTTAAATATGTCTCAGTTTGATCTCAGTTTATTATAATTTTATTTACAAGTGCACTGCCTGGCCAAAAAAAAAGTTGCCACCAAAAAATAAGGTCACACACTAATATTTTGTTGGACCACCTTTAGCTTTGATTGCAGCAGCATTCACTGTAGCATTGTGTCGATAAGCTTCTGCAATGTCACAAGATCTATTTCCATCCAGTGTTGCATTAACAAGATGTTGCATTGATGACTAGGCGCTAGGCATGATGGGTACATCACTTCACCTGCCTCTCTTCTTACCCTGATGCACCCATCACTCTGGAACGGGGTAAATCTGGACTCATCCGACCACATGAGCTTCTTCCATTGCTCCAGAGTCCAATCTTTATGCTCCCTAGCAAATTGAAGCCTTTTTTCCAGTTAGCCTCACTGATTAGTGGTTTTCTTTAGACTACACAGCTGTTCAGTCCCAATCCCTTGAGTTCCCTTCACATTGTGTGTGTGGAAATGCTCTTACTTTCACTATTAAACATAGCCCTGAGTGCTACTGTTGTTTTTCTTCCATTTGATTTCACCAAACGTTTAAATAATCGCTGATCATGAAAATTCAGGATTTTTTTTCCGGCCACAGTTCTTCCTCAAAGACGATGGGTCCCCACTATCCTTCCAGTTTTTAATAATGCGCTGGACAGTTCTTAACCCAATTTTAGTAGTTTCTACAATCTCCTTAGATGTTTTCTCTGCTTGGTGCCAATGATTTGACCTTTCTCAAACAGACTGACATCTTTTCCACGACCACACCATGTGTCTTTAACATGGTTAAGAAATGAGAAGCAACTCATTGCACCAGTTGGGGTTAAATAACTTGTTGCAGCTGAAAGATAATCACCCGTGCAGTAATTATCCAATAGGAGGCTCGTACCTATTTGCTTAGTTAAATCCAGGTGGCGACTTTTATTGGCCAGGTGGTGTATGTCACAATTAGTCACAAAGGTCACCAACCCCGCTCAAAGTTTTCTTTTTTTGCACTTATTTATTTATTTATTAACCTTTATTTAACCAGGCAAATTCCACAGAGATCACATATCTCTTTTGCAATAGAGGCCTGGGCCTGAAGTCAGCCTAACGTATGTTTTTGGTCTGTGGGAGGAAACCAGAGTACCCGGAGAAAACCCACACAAGCACGAGAAGAACATGCAAACTCCACCCAGAAAGACCCCAGGTCCAACCGGGGATTGAATCTATTTGCTCGTTTACTGCAAGATAACTTTGATATGCCAAACTAATAATGCTTTGAGTGACTTCAGCTGCAGGTAAGATATTGATTACTGATAACTTCACAGAACACTTTTTAAAACAATCCAAAGTATCCTTTTAAGTATTTTGAGGGCGTTTATTTATTTTTTCTTTGCCTCACTTGCTGTTGATGTAATTGTTTTTGTCTTTCAGCTTATTCTTTATAGTCTTTTAAAATATATTTTAGTGTAACGTGCACTGGTGTTAATTTGAATATGTACATATGTTGTACTGGTTTTGTATTTTGTAATAGACAGTAATGGTTAAGGTGTCATACGGTTTTTCTTAATGTTCAGAGACACTGATTAGATTTTCCAAAAACAATAAAATACATTTAATTGACTAACTTTTAGCTAACACAAAAGAGAAAATAGTAATGTAGTTTATTTCTTCTAATCAAATGATGATCGGTGTCCCTTCAGGTTTGTCTCCACAGTGACATTGTCTCTTTTTTTTTAGTTTGGAGTTTATGCCTTTGAAAATCTGTATTTCTCTTTTCACTTTAGTGTGTGTTAGATCTTACATTAATCAAAAGGAGGTATTGTTCAGTTATTTTTATTAATCCTAATCACAGATTTTATTCTGTGCCAGAGACTCCAGCATGCAGAAGATCCGTCAGAGGAGCAGTGAGTTGTAAGGCCTTGCTACAACTTCACGGGTTTCTCATGGAGAGTGCACTGGTCATTGTTTGCTCAGAATCAGGATGTTTGTCCACACGTAAACCGGGCTTAGCATCAAGAGTTTACTAGTCCATCCCATATCCAGCCAGTTTCCCCACAAACTGATGTAACTCTGCAACATCAGCTCTGACCGGTTATAAAAGCAAGTTTGTCACTTTTTAAACTAATAGTATTTATTTTAGATAAGAAAATAAAGTCTGATTATTCCATTGTCCTAATAATAAGCTTATTTAAATTGATAATTGATGGATTATTAATTAGTAATCTGTTTCATATAATAATTTGAGAAATAACTGATAGCTCTGAGCAGAAGCTGCTGAGTCTTAAAACTTCATTTGTCAAAGTCTTAGCAGAATAAATCCATCATCATCATCATCACTTTTCTTTCCGGATCACATGGGTGACCTGGGGGAGTGTTGGTGCAGAGGTTAGAGAAGGTGGGCCAGTGATCGGAAGGTCACCGGTTCAATTCCCCGGACCAACAACATCCTAAAAAAATGCAGGTGGAAAAGGTGAAGCACCCACACCTGCCTCCACCCTCATTTGCACCACTCTGGGCCCTTGGGCAGGGCCCTTAACTCCAACCATCTGCTCTCCCGGGCACCATAGGTGGCAGCTCTCTGCTCCACACAGAGGGCAGTGGTAGCTCAGTGGTCTGTGGTTGGGTCAGGAAGGACATCGGCGTAAAAAGAATCGCCACGTCTTCGTGCAAGATAGTTCACTGTGGTGACACCTGAAGAAGAGAGCAGATGAAAGAAAAAGAAAGGGTCTGTTCTGTGCATGTCCAGCAGAAAATAATTAGAAGTATTTAAAAAAACACATCAGCAACTTAATTATGTGAAAGTATCTGGTAAAATTTGATAATCAAATTTAAGCACACATTATCATTTTTGTGTGTTTGAACTCTAAAGCAGCAGACTTAGATCCAGCTTAATAAAATTTTTAGAATAACAGATTTAACAGCTTTTAAAAATATATTTATTATAAATACAGCTAATAGTCATTTTAGCCATTTTAAACAGTGTTCTGCTAAAAGTCCTATAGATTTTGTTGTGCTCTGCTAAGAATCAAGTACTTTAAAGATCCAAATTGTTATTTTTTTATTTTAAAAAAAAATGTAACTTGCATCTTCTTTTGTTGTTGTTGTGGAAACCACCTTTTTTAAAATAAGTCCTTATTATCCTGATTCATGCTCAATAATCCAGGTAGAAAAATCGAACCAGGTAAAGTGGGGTCCTGCGGACAGATTCATCTTGTTGAAACATTTCGTCTTTTATCAAATGACTTCTTCAGTCTGAGGAGCTGCAATAAACTCAGCAATAACATCATTATAGGAAGGTGACACTGTCCCCCTCTTACAATGTTGTTATGGGTTAAGTGTTGTCATCATTGTGTGTTCCCATACAATGGCAAAATTGTCTCTCTGCATTTAACCCATCCACCACCAGGTGGAGCAGTGGGCAGCTATTGAGGACGCCCGGGGAGCAACTGGGGATGAGGTGTCCTGCTCAGAGACACCAGGACATGTGCAATGACTAGGGATTGAACCCAGGACCTTCGGGTCCTGAGTCGGCTGCATCTACACCATCTCGGCCCCACTTGGTTATTGCTAGCATCACTCAGCCCTCTGTCAACAGCAAGAGGCATCAGAGCACTATCAATTGTTAGACTGATGGGCCTCCTTGAGCATGTGAACACTTAGTTCTGGATGTCGGCAGCAAACTGGTTGATCTACTATGAAAAGGTGCTATTTATAAGACTGAGTTTACTGCTGCTCCTCACACTGAAGAAGTCTTTTGGATTTAAAAAAAAAAAATGAAACGTTTCAACAAAGAAGAATCCATCCAGAGAACCTGACTCTACTTTGTTAGATAAGTCCTTATTCTGGTCCAGAATGTCCATAAATGTGACATTTTCACCGAGTCCAATCTAAATCTTTACTGCAAAATTAACTTCTGTTAATCCGAGAAACAAAACGAGGAAAACACTTTCAGAGCTGCCTGATCAGAAGAATTACAAACAGAAGTCGTCTCAGATTGAACAATTAAAGAACGTACGTTAGAGAAGAAACAGACACAAGTAAAGGCCGTTTGTTTTCACATGAGTAAACATTTGTGGCAACATCAGTTTTAATAAAACTCAGTTGTGTTTTATTTTTTTCTATTCAGGTTTGGGTTTGATTGTATTGTTCATGTGGTCTTTTT